AACTCAGAGATATGGCAACCCAGATATGAGTTCACTTTCAATGGCTATGGCGACTCAGCGCCCAAACAACTCTCTGTTCGCATACACCGGATCACCCTGGATATCCCACACACGTCTCTCTGAACACTCACACACACACACACTGAACACTCACTACAGCTATGGCGGCTATGGCCGCAACTACCCTATCGCTATGCTACGCTCCTTCTCTCTCTCGCCCACTTCGGCTCCGGGCTCACTGCAGACCTCCTTGCACAAGTCGCTGTGGCAGCGCTTCCGCATGGCTCACGCAGGAATGAATGAATGACTGGGCGCTGCCTCTTGATTTATACTTATGAAGTTCGTTGGTCTGCCCTTTTCCATCGGCCCATGGTGCTCACAGTCCCTCGTGGTACTTGTTGGACCGAACTGGGACTGACTGGACCTTACCGCTGACTGAATGGGGACTCACTGCTATCCTACCGCTATCGTACTGCGAACGTACTGCAGTTGGTCCACCACTTGCCCACTTGCCCACTTGCTCGACCTTCTAGAAGGACTACAGCTAAGACTTCTGGAACTCACTAAGACTTCTATTCTACAGATCTACAGATCGAACCCCTGCTACCTACGGACCCTACGACAGTCTACTAACTGTTACAAATACACAGGTCGTGGGTTCAAGCCTTGGGGTTGACACACATACTGTACACCGGTAGGGTAAGGGCTAGGGATCGCGCCCTGGGGTCTGCATCTCCTACTGCAAAAGGTGAAAAACGCTTCACAATCAATCAAAAAAAAAAAAAAAAATCGATGTGTTTGTCTGGTTAGGTTTTTGATTTTTTTTAAATAATTTAAATGCTCAAAAAATAAAAATAAAAATATGGGGATGTAGAGCGCAAAAAAATCTACATCCGCCTTTTTTTTTTTTTTGATTACTTTTTGCCTGTGAAAAAAAAATTCGCGGGCCGCATTGTACCGCGTTCTAACGCGGTGTAGCGTGGCGTTGTAACGGGGGTTCAACGGCCGTTGAACCTTTCAACAGGAAACCCCTGTCGAATCGAGTTTCGGACACACAGGCTAGGGGAGATGAGGACGGAGCAACCCGACATCAAACTAGGGGCTTTCAACCATACATAAGCGAGAGAGTAAGGGGAAAACCTTTGTTTTCCCCAAATCCACACTACCCTGCAGAGTCAGCACGGGTTGGAAACAATAGTACTGCTGTCATGGGGGAATAGGGTCTTCAACATCCAGAAGGAAGCTACAACAGACAAACGCTTACGAGGCCTACTTCAGATGTGTTCTCGAACACTGCACAAATCACAGTGGCTGCTCAGGAGGTTCAAGCACTGAGAACCCTTCAAGATCTGCAAGGGCAGACAAATCCTTTGGGCACCACGGGTAATGAGATTGTCCCATTCGATGGAAGGAACGGAGAATCACAAGTGGCACATGATGGGATAATGGCAAACCCACAAAGAGACTCGAGAGGGAGAGAGTGGAAGGTAGCAGTGGAACCATCGAAGATCGCAGTCTGGATCTCTAGATTTTGAAGACACTGGGAATACCTGGTCTATCAGTCTGGGTCTCTACATTTTGAAGATCTTGGTCTATCGGTCCGGGTCTCTACATTTTGAAGACACTGGGAACAATATAAACCTAGGTTTCAAAACAACGGCGAGTGGTGGGATACTGGCATCGCCTTGAGCTCCGATTTGTTCAACGTTTTTTCTAGGATTCTGACAACGAAAAGGAACGAGAAGGAGCAAGAGATGAGAGATAGGTTAAGCAGAATCGAAGAGAGAATGACACTTCACTCAATATCAGCAACAGTATGGGCAAACGAAAGAGCCAAGGTGCTTGCAGTATGGGACAACCAACAAATTAAAAAATCAGAAATCTGGGCCGCAAGACTAAGAGGGAAAGGCATATTGGTTTATGACAGGATGACTAGAGAGTCCTTTCAGAAGTTGACACCCAAATCGGTCGTTCAGTCCATCACTACGCTACAACATCCTTTCATATTGGCAAGCAGGCCTGCAGACTCTCTTCAAGGTATGTGTGACTATGCGGTGATGTATTTCGAGGACATTCTCACTTCCAAACGCCAACACGAAGATATACACAAAGACTTATCATGCGATTTTGCTCACTGGGACGACATGACTACAAGACTTCAAAGTTCAAATAGACAAAAACTAAGCATGCCTTTAACTCTTGTGGAAATAACGGAAGCTGCCAACATTATGGCAAAAGGGAAAGCTCCCGAAAGAGACTCGGACGGGCTACCTATTGAGATGTACCTTCGGCGTTGGGAGCTCTTGGCTCCTCACCTGTTGGACATCTATAATGCAGTTATGGAAGGGTCCCCAATAACATCTCAGATGTCGTACGAGATGATCTTAGTCTTCCTATATTAAAAAAAGAACAAGATAGACATAAGGAATCGGAGACCAATTTCCCTCCTTAATGTTTCTTACAAAATCTTCGCTAAAACTCTGACTAGGAGATTAGCAATTTGTCTTTCTTACTTAGTTGACAGAGATCAAGCAGCCTTTGTCCAGGGTCGGTCCGTTTTCGACAATGTGGTTACAACATTAGAATCCCTAAAACTGATCGAACGGAGCAATCAAAAAAAAAAAAAAAAAAAAAAAG